TTGATAGATGGGTGGGGGTGGGTGGGTGGGTAGGTGGATGGATGCATGGATGCATGGATGGATGTTCGAATCAAAAACCCACCTGCATGATAAATCTTCCCTCCATTTAAAGTGATGAAATCCGCCACATTATCATTGATTTTCTTTATACAATCTTCATCACTTGAGCCAGCCACACACCCAGGGCTGATACTAACTCCTTCAGCTTGTGCCAGGTCCGGAAGAGCTTTCTTGAATTTTTCACATTTCTTCATTTCATCATCTGTAACGGTACACCAGCGGAAGGGTTTTGTTTCTGTAGAAAAAAAAGATAAAATAAATATTTCTAGTCTACTTCGCGATACCTTAAAGTGCCTATAACACGTGCACAAACTTTGAGATCTTCAAGAAGCATCACTCAAATAATATGAAAATTTTACCATTCAGCTATTCACTTCATGAAGAATCCATAATGAAAATATCGAGTTATTGGCACTTTAAAACAGCTTCTTTCGAACAATACTGGATATCTCAACACAAGTAATTTTAGCTGGGTTTTGGAATGACCTATGTCTTATCGGGTCCAGCAATCTTTTTTGAAACAGATATCCATTATATTCCATCGAGGTCATATGTTAATGATCGTATTGGCAAGATTATTTTTCAGTTGTTTTTATTCAAGATGTTGACCTTTCGAACATCTTCATTCGCTATCATAGAAGTGAACACTTGAACATAGACAAAGCCGGATTTGTTCTTTTTCTTTTTCTTTATTTTTTACTCCAATCCAATTACATTTGTTTTTGGATTTTCCTATTTCTATACTTATTCTTGTAACAATTATCAAATAAGAGTACCAAATGACCAATTTGCTACCTAACTTGATTAGCATTGCTATTTTAGGTAGCAAGTGGTTCCTCAAATTTTTATTATAATTCTCAAAATTGTAACAATTAATCTGCTAATTATACAGCTGTAACTGTCCAATTATTTTCTTAATTGGACAGGTCTTGCTGATATGGGATCAATCAGGCAGCTATATAATTAATAGGTAATGGGATTTCATGCTCCCCAATCAAGAAATAATTAGACTCGAAAAATTCCTCTGACTGCCAAATTGGAATCGGCCTAGCTACGGCCTCATCCAATTTTGTCAGTCCTCGGAATTTTCCTCGTCCAATTATTTCTTAATTGGACAGCATGGAGTCCTATTACATATACAAATCAGAGGGCACAAATAATGTTCTATTCTATTCTATTTAAAGTTTTTCAACTTCGAAAATCAGTACAGCATCTATATTTCATTGTCCCTTCCCTTAATTTTTCCAAGATAATTATTGCGTCATTAATTAGGGTCGTTTAGTTGGCTTTCACTTGAAAAGTGCCATCATGATAAATCTAATGACTTCTACAATCACTTCAAGATCATAAAGCGTTGCACAAGGATAGGCTTTTTCAAAAGCGAACTGAAGCTGTCACTTGATGTTCAATCAGAATCTATCAAAGGTAAAGTTTTTGTGCCAAACGACTGGCATTTTTTTGTTACCAGTATTCTATTATTGACAAATGCTTAGATACACCCATCTTTATTGTATATCACAATATGGTCTTTTCAAATAAATAAAGGTAATTTGATACTACGATATAATTTGAGTTAAGATGTACTATATAAGGACAATTCGTATGTGATCCTAGGAGATTAAGATGAATGATCTATATATCAAGATCAAAAAGATCGTTTGTTTGAGGCTAGAGTGCTGTCTAAGATTATATACGAACTATCCATAAATGGTTCACTATCTAATCCCGAATTAGAATTTTTTTTAGCAGCTGAATGCGATTAACGTAAATATATTCTGATTATCAGATAAGTACTTTATGATTTTAAATTCTTTCCAGCAAAAAAACAGAATTTGAATTCCATTTTTGCTACAAAGAAAAGGCCATGATACAAGCAGTTGAAACTTATTAGCCGAAACTTGTGTTCAACGAAACAAGTTTCAAGGAGATTACACGCTGAAACTTGTTCGCGACACACGGTTTTGTTTACACGAGTAGAAAGAAGCTGCTTTTCATAAAACTTCCTTGCCACGAAAGTTTCACAAAGTTTCACGTGTAACATTCCAGTGAAACTTGTATCGCAACACAGTTGCACACAAGTTTCAGAGAAAAGTTTCAACGTGTAACCTCAGTGTATACTAGTAGAAATCATTTCGAATTTTTGTCTAATTTTCGTCTAATTTTCTTGCGACGAAAGATTGACGAAGCCTATATAGTGCTTGCAGTACTCCCCGTGAAACTTGTCTCACAACATCACAAATTTTAGCTTAAAGTGCTTATAAGCCTTTACACAATATTTTCAGAATTGATTCTTTAGATAGTGAATAGTTGATTGTGAAAATATTTCGTCATTTGAATGTTGGGTCTTTAAGATACGAAGGGTTTTATTCCCAATATGTTAATGACTATATTCCTATACTAAAGGGCAAAAGTGTTCCACGCAAAGCCACTTACTTACCAGCATCTATCGATTGTATCGTACAAATGAAAATAATCATGAAAAACCACGCCATTTTGAGTCGAGGTAGGAATGGAAGTTGAAATCCGCGCAGTAATGTAATGTCTTTGTATCCCGCGTTCCAAGTGACACACTGACTTCAGTTGTCTTAAGTACTAGTCAACTGGCGCTTAGTAACTTGGCAGAAATTCAAGGAGAGAAAGATTTATTTTGACATTTTGGGGTCAAGCTGGGTCTAATACGACCAAACACGAGTCGCCGCCTCTGTCATAATTGCTAATGTTAATAACGATTACGTGCATTGATTAATGATGCGGGAGTGCAATTTGTTAATCACAAGTATGATTCTGGTCCAAAATTGCACGACACGAAGTTCAATTACCACTCAATCAAATCTTCTTTGTAATCATACACACGAAAAAGACACAATAAAGAGAGTGCAGATTAATTAATTTAATGTAGAAGAAGCTGAARTAAATCAATCAGGTTTTCCTGGTATAAAATAAACGATTTATCAGCAAATCATTAAATATTCATAAATAATGCTAATCATTCTCTTCTCTGATTGGCTGAATATAACAATTCTGTTTAATTAATTAATTAATTAATCGCACTCCTTTGAACCCATCAGATTGCAGGATTTGGTAGTGATTACAAAAAGGATATGATTAAGTGCGTAAACAGATTAGTTAGTCTTTCTGTATTCGCGACGCTCTCTCACGGCAATGAAGATGTGACCTCCAAACATTGTGTCTTTAAGCCCTTTTGGCTGAAATGCAGTTCCTTTGCTTCTTTAACATTTTGTTCAAATATTTATCAACCACAAATTATGTCTCGGAAATTTATAACGACTGAGTGCATTAGTTGAATAGACCTACAATCTTGGACAAAACTGTCGTTGCGTCTTCATAAGAGACTGTCCCTAAAAATTCTTATTTTGATCAATAACTGCGCAATATGAGTTAATGAATATTCTAAAATTATTATTATTCACTGCGCATAGAGACTTTGCACCATCACTGAACAATAGAAACCTTTTGCTCTCGGGAATTGATTTCTTTCTGTAAAACGATGATATTGTTCCTGCCATCCACCATGGCTGCCGTCACGTGATGGTGCAAAACCTTTATATTGGCACTTTTAGGTTCCTTTCCTTCAGTCCAACCCAACCCAATCCCCCCTCCCCTTCCCCTTGAACAATGTTGTTTTGGTGGTCATTGGTCTCGTAGCCCTTTATTTTTAACATTGGAACCAGGGCGGCGGAACAGGGGGGGTAGGGTGCACCCCCACGAAATATTTTGGGGGGGCCTGCTCCCCCCTCCCCCACAAAATATTGGTTCAC